TTCAGCAGAATAGCTGAAATGTAAAAGAAGTGAATTTGGTTTCTGTGCACATAGTATGATTAGCTTTTGTTAAAGACCGGCGATAATAGCCGAGGCTATTAGCCAAAGGTAGTTACTGAGCTCTAAAAAAACACCCTCTGCCTGCTGATCATTCTTCTCCAAGTCATGCGGTATTCTGCACATCTTGCAGCATTCTAGCCTTTAGTTGGAAACACTGGAAACACTTCCAACTTCTCAGTCACTTCCTGGTCTCCAGAGACAGCCCCAGACCCTTGCTTGTGATCAAGCACAGAGGACAATTCGGGGAAGGAAGAATTTAATCGTTCTTCGCATCCCACGTATCTAGCAGCAGCTCAATTCCCTAACAAACAGAACCTGGAGACCACTTGCAGTTGCCAAAGCTGCCAACAACCTTAAGGGCTAAATATGAACCAAAAATATTGATGGTTCTGTGGGGCCTGTTCCTCACCTCTTCATCAGTTACTAGGAATGGGAGAGGACACTGGAAAAACACTCTACCCTATCTCTATGATCTGTGTTCCCATTTAAAAGTTAATTCTGTAGGCTCCACTTCCAGCCCAGTTTGTTGGCTGTGGCCAACAAAAAAAGAATAGACTGTGATGCTCTCCAGTGGTTCATTGCTCTGTTTGCCTTGACAATAAGGGAAACCTTAAGAAGGAATTTAGGTAAGGTGGCTAACTTCTGGATTGCTCAAATTAGGAATTAGGTAAAAATAATCCCACCCTGGGGTGTTAGTAGTTCCCGCACAGCTCAGAGGAGGTTTCCTGGGCAGGCTATATGATCTTCAGATGTACCTTCTGTTGCTAACATGCTGTAAAGCGGTAAGACCTGAGGCAGAAGATGAGGTGGTTATTATTGGGTTTTGTACTTTGAACTTCCCAGACATGTTACTTTCAAGTCTCAGCAATTTTCAGTGTATTTTTATGACATTTAACACTAGCAGAGAATTGAAATGGGGGGTGGGTAACGCACAGCATCTCCGTGACTGTTTTTCTCCCCTCAGGGATACCTGCTGATTTCTACTGATATTCACTACAAACACTAAAGGAGAGGGGAGACACCACTTGTTAACCGGAAACTTTAAATCGATACCGTGACTCGGAGGGCTAGAAACAGCCTCATTCTGCTGAAATGTCTAACCCAAATGCTGGCAAGAGCAAAGTCGTCCTGCTCTGTTGGAGGGGAAGGGGAAGCCCAAAGGCTTACAGGATGCTTGAGGCTGTGCAGGGACCGAGAGACAAACATGGGACACATTTGGCATTATTTATTATGGGTTGTTGGATTTTTTTTTTAACTGATGTAAAGCTGTGTGGGCTTTTGTGGGTAAGATTAATGCCTTTCTTCAAATAAAATCTTGTTTATACACTTCAGAAAGGTGCACTTTGTTTTTTCTTCCCCCCACCACGAGAAGGAAAACCGCATTGTCAAAATGTGGCTAGGGCAGAGGCTCCAGTTGATCCAGGTCCAGACCACCCCTGCAGGCACTGAGGCTGCAGAGCTGGCCACGTAGCTTGCCACGTAGCCATGTGGAGGAAAATAAATAAATAAATAAATGCTGCTGTTTCTTCAGCACAACCGGCATCAAAGTGGCAGCCACGGGGCTCCTAGGAGCTCAGCCCTGCGTCCCTGCTGCGCTGGGCGGCCCGTGCTGGGGACACTGGAGGGAGCGATATTCTAATACTACCATTTTACCCCCATTTTACTAAAATCTTATCGAATACTCGAGGCCACGGGACGGCCTTTGGCCGTTGCCGCCAGGGGGCGCGCGCGCAGGCGCGGGGCCTTCCCCGGAGCGCGGCGGAGGAAGTTTGGCCCTCGGCGGCTTCTGTCCGCGCCGGCGCGCTTTGACCCTCGGCGGGCGCCGGGGGCGCCTTTTCGTGGGGCGCGGG